TGTTTTAAGTTTTATATTTTAATTAATTTAATTAGTGAAGAAGCAATGCAATCTCATCCATATGACCTGCTTCATATGATTAGAAGCAAGTAACTTTCATTTCGTAAGTTCACCTCCTGGGTTTTATCTGAAAACGTTTTTTAACCAGCCTTTCTGAAACCACGAACCCTTCTTAGCTGCTTACTCCTCGGAAGAGACCGAGCATCCGAGCAGCATAGTCACGATTGGTCATAACCTGCCAAACGTGTGTTCTCAGATGATCGGGGTCTTCTCCGCTAATAACTTATGGTTATAATACGAAAGCATCACTGCTACTAGAACTACCTTCATTTTCTGAACAAGCACCTAACGATCAAAGATACGTAAGCTACATACAGAACAACACAGCTGATCCCACCTAAAAAACCTGTCCAGGATGCAGACGCGCACCAGATCAAAATTGGGATCATTTAGAAGCTATCAAGCCAAAATCTTCTATGGAAACCGGCTAGATGTATACGAATGACACTAGAAAGCTGGCAACCCACAAATCCCAGGCTTAAAAAACTGCCAGAGCGGATCTTCCAGCTGAAGGGCCTAGAGATGAGCTACCATTAAAAGATCTATTAAAACAAGTGAAATGGAGTGCTCCCAGGGTCACCCTGCTTTTGAATCATAAGGGTTGAACGGTCATGTGCTAATGAATATATATACCTCTGCGGCTGGCGAATAAGTGTGCAGATACCATCCTGTGGGGATCACTGGAAACATGCATGTTCATGTTGCTTAGTTACGCTGCTCCTGCCCTAATGGCCATTCACCCGAGATCTGCCAACACAATCTGTTGGAGCCCATATAGTATGCTGCACGTACTATCAGGTGCCTTGGCACACACTACAAAACACACACCCACACACACACACCCACACACCCACACACCCACACACCCACACCCCCACACCCCCACACCCCCACACCCACCCCTCCTATACTTTCTTTGTTTTAGGGATGGTTTATGATGATTCGCGGGTGGAATGAGAGAGAGAATTCGGAGTTAAAAACACACACACACACACACATACAAGGAACATGCTATGTGTCGTCAATGTTTCTAGGAAGCTGTCATGGAAAGTATGCTCTACTGTGTGGACTATCCCCGATGTCATCACACTGTTCGGTTCAACCTGCTATCGAGTAGCTGAAGTTCACAGAAACTCTCTAGCAGCACTCGTGTGCCTGTTTTTCCTTTTTTTTTGGGGGGGGAAGAGAGGAGTTGTGTATAGCCAACATGACAACACACACACACACACACCCACCCACACCCACACACACACACACATACACACACACGCACACATGCTGAAGGAGATTCACTTACACTGCAGAACAGATTCTGCTGCAGCAGAGTGCTTCTGCTGCGACTGAATTAGTCAGTCCTGCGTCAGACAGGAGTCATTCCCTTTCCTGAGAACTGATCGTGCTGCATTAGAATGGATTCTGCTGCAGCATATCTGACTGTGCTTCACGGCAGAGTCATGTTGGCAGCAGAAGAACAGTTTGAGTTCTGCTGCAGCAGATTCTCTTTAGCTGCAGTAGAAAGACTTCTGCTGAAGCAGAAGCAGCTCTGCAGCAGCAGTGATGCTGCTGTGGCACGTTCAGTTCTGCTGAGATGCACGTCTGCTCATGCAAAACTGAATCTACCATCTTCACCCGAATAGAACGCCAGGTGATTATATCATTATAGCTGTATCTGGACTGAAAAGTGCACCATATACGGCTATAATGACCGGGCGTTCTATTCGGGTGAAGACGGTAGTGAGAATAAAGGTGATTCTGTTGCAGCAGAACTGATTCTGCTGCAGCAAAAGCGATTCTGCTGCAGCAGAAATGGCTTTTTCTCTGGCCGTCCATCCATTGCAAGCCTTCACCATCACCACCACCTGTTTGAACCTTGGCAAAAGTGAGCGCTACCACTTCAACTTTTCCAAGAGTGTGCATGTGTGCGTGTGTGTGTTGGGGGGGGGGGGGGGGGGGGGGTTGTGGTGTTGCATGCGGGTATGTGCGGTGTGGGTGTGTGCATATGACACTGTGTTTGTGCCTCTGTGGGTTAAAAAAAAATCCCAAATTCTCTCTTTCATTCCATCCGGGAATCATCAAAACCATCCATAAAACAAAGAATGTATAGATAGGCAAGAAGTAAAAACTGCAAGGCTGGCCACGTTTGTGTGTGTGTGTGTGTGTGTGTGTGTGTGTGTGTGTGTGTGTGTGTTGTGTTTTGCTGCGGGGCTCCTGCGACTGTGTCACATCATGATGCGCCATAACTCATGCTCCATGAACAACACCATGAAAAGAGTCACACCGTACCCAAGGGCTTACAATATACCATGACAGTTTGCGGATAGAGAAGAACAAAGGTAGAAATCGTTCCATCATCGTGGTGTTTTCAAAGTATAAAGTATATCCGTAGGATGTTTTCAAACAACAAGCAAACGACAAGGAGTGGAAGGCACGGGGGAGGTCATGGAGGGCGGGCAGACAAACAGCATTAGGCAAAAGCACAAGGCGGCAACAACCAGTCAAGAATTAGCACTAGGGCGGTGAAACAACAGCATGGAACAGAGGCTGGAGGGCATGAGAGAGGCGGGTGGGCAGGCAAGTCAAGAAACAGCACAACAACAAGACAACAAGGCAGACAAAAAAGTAGCAAAAAAACACAGAGCGAAAAAAATAATGATAGATTGTTTCGTCGGAGTTGCACCGACTCATCAGGAGGCTGAACCCTCGACAATCTGCGGAATCCCCGTATTTGATGGTTTGGGTCATGAACCTTTTGACCCATGTTGAAGGCAGACTGTCCCCAAGCGGGACATAGCAGCGGGCAGCAACCCTGTGGAGCACCAGGCAACACAGTAGAGGCAGCCCAACCGCTTATCACCAAAGACGACTGCAAGGAACGACAGGGCAAGCGGACGAGCAGCTCGACAACCGTGCTGTGAAGCGCAAGGCAACATCACCAAGGCGACCAGACTACAAAGCATGCAAGCAAGGACGCGGAAGGCCAACAGGGCAAGCAGACGAGCAGTTTGTAACCGTGCAGTGAAGCACAAGGCACCACCAACAAGGCAACCAAACTACAAGGCATGCACGCAAAGGACAGTGCAGGCCGACAGAGCACACGGACGAGCAGCTCAGCAACCGTGCAGCGAAGCGCGAGGCACCGCCACAAGGCTACCAAACCACAAGGCACGCAAGCAAAAGACACGGGAGGCACGACCTGCGGGTAGGCGGCAAGGCAGCAGAGCAGCGAGGAAGACCTGGAAAGCAAGCGGCGTGGGCAGCAAGACCGCGGCAGAGCGCAGACAAGACAGTCTACACATCCAACACGGAGCAAAACAGCACATGACCTACTCACATCAAGATAGAACCCGCAGATTGTTGGTTCCCACCAGCCGCTGAGCCAGGGGGACACTCCGACGACCATCTGTCATCACCTACAGGCAACACAGACATCCCGAACCGAGCGGCCCCCATAAGAGTGCAGTAGGCACTCCAAATGAGGAACCACCGACTGTTTGGCACTACTTAAGGGTGCTCAGTTGGGCACGCAAAGCATACTTAGAAAAAGTCAGGGGGAGGACAGACAACAGAAGAAAGGCCAACCGACATAAAACTGATTGTGTGTGTGCGTGTGTGTTGTTTTAAAAGACCCCAGATTCTCTCTCTTATTCCCTTCACAAATCAACACAAACCATCCATAACGAGAAGAGAAAGTATAGATAGGCAATATAATAGAAAATCCAAGGTTGGCCACGTTTGTGTGGTTCAGCGCCAAGTGCCCACACACCCGTCTGCTGCCAAAGCGGCACACTTGCACATATACATATGTAAACATATATATCTCAAACCATAAGGGGAAGGAGGGCAGAAGGCAACTTACCTAAGACAGAAGACTACTCCAGCAAGAAGCCACCGACCCGACCCCCTCAAAGGTCCGAAAAAACTTGGAGAGCCTTCCGTGTCGGCCCACAAAACCAAAAACTCATTTACCAAAAACAATCAAACATAACAGCATTGGCATTCCCGACAATCATCTCAAACTASACACTCGCGTCACTGCCAAAGAGGAGGAAGAAGATAAGAGACAACTTACCTAAGACAGAAGACTTCTCCAGCAAGAACGCACCGACCCCCCCTGCTAAGGATCCGAAAAAACTGGGAAAGCCTTCCACGCCGGCCCACGAGACATACATTACCCCCTTAGTTAACTCGTGGCCACCCGTAAACGTGCAAACAGCCCATGCTCTAAAGCAGGGCAAAACTAGGTCGTGTATAATTAACAAAACCAACAAGACATATTCAACCACAGAAAAAGAGAATGTGTGTGTGTGTTCAAATCCGGTTCATGGACGCTGCCTTGCTTGTCTTGTCTTGTACTAAGTAGCAATCTTTTTGGTTCCTTTACTGATGGATCGCTTGTGTATCTCAGGAATGGATGGGGTTGAGTAAGTCCTAGTGTTTTGGCCTCGCGTATGCTTGAACGAACATTTCTCTGCACCTGACTGATCATGGCTAGAAATCGGTTTTTCAAGGATCATCCATGTGCCTGGGATGCGTGTAAGGCAGAATGTCCGCACACTACAGGCAGGAATGGGCACTTTCTGGGTCTTGCAATGCAATTGCAAAACTCGGAGAAGTAGTAAAGGAAGGTGACACCCTGAGCCCAAATTGTACTCTTGCGCAATCATGCTATATATATACATCTATCTATGTCCATATAGATGCGTACACGATTCAACCTCCTGATGAGTCGGTGAAACTCCGACGAAACAGTTTGTCACAGCCCCTCGTTTCTTGTCCTCTTCTCCCTTTCTGCCTACGGTTTACCGGGCAGCTCTGTCTGACAATATATACATACATACATATATATATATGTATATATATAAATACATATATATACACATAATGGTGGCTGTCTGACTGACCCTGTTTCATTGGTTCTGTGTATTCTTCTGTCGTTGCAGCTTCACTTGGACATCAGCAAAAATGCTTTCCCCATCATCGCGGATCCGAGGGCAGGACACGTTCCGATCCAATTCCGCAGCGTGCCTTGCGCTCCTTACAGAATACTGCGGCTGAATCTGAGGGGCCACATGTGGTGGCTTGAGGTCACAGCACTGGCCATTCCTGGGAGTGGAAGGATATTGAGGATGGAGGTCGCGGGGAGGGGTGGTCGCTGGAGGAGTATGAAGCGTTCATTCGGAGCAGCTTGGTCCACTACAGGCGCGTCCCTGCGCTTGCCTATTTCTGTCCGGATTTCCATATTAGGAAAGTTCTGCAAGCTGATTGCCCGGGACTGTATCAAGGGACAAATCTATAATGGAAAGCAGCTTAGCTGCAGATACTCAGTGGGGTACTGAGTACCGTGCTCCCCCGGGACCGTATCAGGGACAAATCTATAATGGAAAGCAGATATTCAGTGGGGTACTGAGTACTGTGCTCCCCTGGGCAACGAAAGTGCTGCCCCTTCGTTTTTATCTCCCGTTGCCTGTGCTTAATTTTTCTTTTACTTTCTATTTATATGTTCGTGCCTGTGCTTAATTCTGTTCAGCGTAACCAAGATTAGTGTTTCTTATGCTGATGTGAACCTCGATTTCTGTGCGTTTGCGCGATTGCGTGGATTGCCTCTTGCTAGCCGAGGGATGGGATGATGGTGATGCAAGAGAATGTGCAGATGGATGCACCAATCTTCACAATGGTATGTCTGTATGGCTTCAATATCACGTACACTCACAATTTATGACCTCTCTCTCTATATATACATATGCTTGTATAAGTAGTTCTTTGAGTACGATGGACAATGTGATACCGATGTAGGTACTGCTAACAGTGCTGAGGTTTTTGGCTGTAGTTTGCTGCAGCCGGATCTATGATTAACCATTTTGGCAAGGCAACCTCTCTGTGAGCGGGATGCTTGTAATGTAATTGCTGTCTTCCATCTTATCAAACGTGGAAGTGCGACCTGTTGAGTTCTGCTCTCGTGCATGAGCACGCCACATCTACTGTTTGCGCAGAGAGACATGTGTGCATATTTAAATTTGCACACACACACACACACACACACACACACACACACACGCACACACCCACACCCACACACACACACACGGAGAGAGAGAGAGAGAGAGAGAGAGAGAGAGAGAGAGAGAGAGAGAGAGAGAGAGAGAGAGAGAGAGAGAGATCTTGCACCATATAGGGGTTTAAGCATGGGGCTTGTTCCGTATGTCAGACATTGCACTGGAAGTTTTACAGGATTTAGGGTTAAGCAGAGGTGTTATCGTTTTTTTTTTTTTTTTTTTAATTCTGCTGCAATGTGTTTTCGTCTTCTCTATGAATGTGACCAATAAAAGCTATCTGGTCGTAGGACAAAAAGCTCACAAGACACACGGATGACAGAGCTCTCAGACAGTAGGGTGAAGAGCGCCATCTGTGAGTGTTCATTTCGTAGAGAAGGTTTCAGAGGTAGCAGGTGGGAAAAGGAGCCACTTTCGGGGGTTCAGTTCTTGCTCCGACTCTTCTTCTTCTTCTTCTTCTTCTTCTTCTTCTTCTTCTTCTTCTTTTCTTTTTTTTTTTTTTTTTTTTTGCTTGGAAGGTTTATCGACCGACGACCGTGGTATATGAGAGGGGACAGAAGATTGTTTAGAGGCACAAATGGTTTGAACTGTGGTATAGGCCAAAGCTTACTGTCTGTGACGTGCATGGAGATGGAATGGTGGGTGCAAGTCTACTGGGAGGGAATTGCACAGAGACAGGAAGGATAGAATGACCTTGTACTTGGTAGAAGAAAAGGTGATACTGCACTGTTCCGGTGAATGACAGCAGTTCGTTGCAGCCCGGTTTCTTGTTCCCCCCTTCGACGAGACAACCTCTATGCGAGTGGCATGGACGTAATATTTGCCTGCTGTCTGGCGTCGAAAGTGTGGTTTGTTCGCTTCTGCTGTGATGCACGTGTACGTGAGTTGCACTGAGCTCGCTGCAGCCTGGTCTATTATTCCCCCCCCTTCGACGAGACAACCTTGATGCGAGTGGAATGGGTGTAATATGCCTGCTTTCTGATCTTGAAAGCCTGTTCTGTTCGCTTCTGTTGTCGTGCAACGTGTTTGCATTTACATGTCCTTTTGTTCCACCTGTGTGCAATGAGCCCAGACGTGATGATACTCGTCAACATTACCAGTCCATATGATTTTCGATCTGCTGATGAATGACAAACAATCGCAAATGTGTGTGATGATAGAATGAGGTGAGAATCATACACAGACGAAGGAGGAGAGAGGGAGAATAGACAAAGGAGAGAGAAGAAGACAACAGCCCACTTCTACTTCGGGTTCCTCCTCCTCCTCGCCACCTCATCAATCAATAGACTGAATACAATGTCTGAAGTTCTTCCTCAAGGTGCCACGTGGCACATCAATCTGTCTACATCAGCAAATGGAGAGTATCGTCATCAACCAGGTACGTATCCTTGATAACCACAGTCTTGATCCCCTTCCGAAGTGACGAAGAATCAGAACAGCCTCATCAATCTCTCAGCCCGCCACGTCATCAATCATATACAGGTGGCAGCGGCCACATCAGCATCGGCGCGTGGCAGCTGCCACGTCAGCATGCCCAGAAGACCATCACCAGCCAGCACCATGCCAGCCAGCAGCACCTTGCCGTCCTCCTCTGCCAGCATAGGGCCGGCGTCAAGCCAATGCCGCAATGTCGCAGCATAGCAACAGCGTCAAAGTCTACGCGTGAAGTCAGCATTCACGCAAGACTGAATGTCCTCCAGCCAGGAAGTCAACTCTTAAATAGCGTGGATGCGGGGTCTGGACCCCGGGTGCTGAAGTCCTGCACCGTCCAGATYTCGATGTGAAGGAGGGCCCAGATTGGCCAGAAACTGTATTCCTCCCGCCCTGAATGCTGTCTGGGTACCTGCACACAACAAGTGAATGTATCCGACCATAGGCCTGGGCGCGGTACCTTTGACTCTACAGTTGACTTTGACTGTTGAATTTCCTTTGTGCTGCGTTCGGTCACACAGCCTCCTCGACAGACTCAGGCTGGGCATGTCTCGGTCACATAGCCCAGCACAGCAGCACAGTCTGTGCTTTACCGGGGGCAACGTTCTGAGCCCCGGTCTGCTGCTGAACAGGGTTACTGCATTCCTGCCGACCCAAATTTCGAGTTCCATCGCAGAAACATTTAAGACTTCAACCCATGTTCATAAGCAGAGACGATATCAGGAGCAGATTCAAGGAATTCTCTTTTACTAAACCATCTGTCCTCATATGGTTTTTGACTCTTAAAACGAACCTTGAATTGCTTCTGGGGTCGTCCTCGTGCACCTGTAGAGAAGAATCTTTGTTCTATAATTCGGTCCACTTCATATACACCATCCATATCTGGCGGTATCATAGATGGTCTATGAGGGAATTCATCTCCTTCTACATAAGGTAGCAACTTAGACGCATGAAAGACAAAATAGGTCCTGAGATGAGGGGGGTTATCAATTCTGTAAGACGGTCCCTCTGCATCTCCAATCCCAGGGTCCAAAATAGACAGGCAGGAGTTTCAGGTTCCCAGGGTCCAAAATTCTGTAAGACGGTCCCTCTCCACCTTGCGCCGAGTTCCAGGGAGTAAGCCTACCGTCCCCTGTAGGAGTCCCCGAAATTAGCGCAGCGGTACCACATCCCTCCTCCCTTCCGTACCCTCACGTCACTCTTAGGGCATCAGGAATATATATATACATATATATATTTCTCCAAAAAAACTACACTATGTTCTTCTCTCAAATTCTTTTTGCCTTTCACTTCCTTCCTACCACTACTCCTAATGCTATATAGAGGGGACCCCTGCAAGCATAGGGCCTTGCAGACGAGGTAAATCATGTTGCCCCTGATGTTGCCCCCCACCCCAACAGCAGTAGTCAGAGATGGGTTGGGGCTGCTGGTGGGGGTCCAGCTACGGCTAAGACCGAACACTTTGGCAGTTGCTGCGCCTCCATTTCTCATCGTCCCCCAAGTGCCCCCACCCCTCATCGAGTAGTAGCAGAGGGCCAGAGGCTATGGCCTGTGTATCTTTTTAACGCAGAACGGGGGAATTAAACTCCCATTGAATCCCGTTAAATTCAAAAAAATCCCGTTGAATTCGCGTTGAACGCGAAAATGGGCCGCTCCCGCGCTTTTCGGAAAAACGGAATTGATGCGCGGGGTCCGGAACACGTGGCCCTAGGAAAAAAAAAAAAAAAAAAAAAATTCCCCCCAGCCCCTGAAGCACCTCCCATCCGTCCCCACATCCCCCAACCCCCAACGCCCCAGTTATGTGTGTGTAGGTGTGCTGTGTGTGCGCGTATCTGTGTACGTGTGTGCCTGCCGTGAGTGTGTCTGTGCATGAATATGAATGTATGCGGGTATGTTTGTGTATGTGTGCGTTTGTAAGTGTGTGTGTGTGTGTCTGTACTTGTAAGTGTATGTGTGTGTTTGTAAGTGTGTGTGTGTACGTGTATGTGTGTGTTTGTGTATGTGTGTGTTTGTAAGTGTGTGTGTGTATGTGTGTGTTTGTAAGTGTGTGTGTGTGTAAGTGTAAGTGTGGCTGTGCCTGTGCGTAAGAGTGTGTCTCGCCTTACTCACAACCTCGTTCCCCAACACACAGATTCCACTTGCACCCAAGGACCACCCTGCGCCACACCCAGCTTACAGCAGCGCAACTCGGCAATGGCTGCCTGCTCCTTCCTAATTGCCCGTCAGCGTGTGAGTGCCAGCGAGCTACAACGTGGCAGCACTTACGCAGCATGCAGCCAGCACCCGGATGCCCAATGTGGAGGCAGGCCCTTTGCTATATCGAAGTGGCCTGCCTGTGTTCAGTCCCATGAAGCTTCCAGTAGGCCCCGGTAGCTTGAGGCACAACACGAACGAGAACAGGCCTTGGGCCTGAGGTGGTTGTCCGAGGAAGCTTCCAGTAGGCCCCCAACTGCCTTTGGCCTGCGTTTGGCCCAGTACCCGTATCCAGCCCACGGCCTGCTTTCCATACATTCACACAGGCGGCCCAGGGCCTGGGTTCCCTCAACCAACTGACGCCAGACTCATGCAACCTGCTACAGGCCCAATTTTGTATGTGTGTGTATCTTTTCTTCCTTTTTTTAATTTGTTTTTTATGGTTATGATTTTTTAAAAAATACACGAAGTTCCAAAAAAATAAAGAAAAAGACAAATTGTTGTACATCTTTGAAAGATCTACAACCCTATATTTTTTATTTGTTTTTTTGTTTTTGTTTTAGCCCTTAAAAAATTTGTGTGAAACCCAAAACAAAAATATTCATTTCATTTTAGTTTTTGTTTTTTCATTGTGTGTTCATGTTTTTGATTTTTGAAAAATAGATTTAAGCATCAAAAATAAAAACAAAAATATAGGGTTGTATTCCTAAAAAAAACCTACAACCCCATATTTTGTTTTGTTTTTTTTGGATAATGTTTAGCCCAGGGAAAAAATCATCCCGGACCTCGTTAATTCGCGTCCAACTCTCGTTTGAACGGGAGTTTAACGCGAATTCAACGCGCGTTGAATTTTTCAACGCGGAACCCTCGTTGAATTCAAAATCGGACACGCAGGCTATGGCCAACACTCTCCCACACACTACACCCAACCCACTCGCGCTCGCAAACCCGTGTTGGTTATAGACCCCTCTAATACCGTTCGTTGGCCTGTGTTACCGCGCGTTCATTGAACGCGCATTTTGCATTCAGGTTTTGAACGTGGTGAACGCGCGTTCACTGAACGCGGGTAAACAGGTTTGCGCAGATGGGTTTTGGTGTTGGGGGGTGGCAGGGGCCCGCCTGTGTGTGTGTGTGTGTGTGTGTGTGTGTGTGTGTGTGTGTGTGCGTGTGTGTGTG